CCCCGGAAAAAACTATCTCGCGTCCACACGCAAGGGGGGGCGGCCCCCGTCAACCTCCTGCAGGCCCGAGAACCAGACCCAGCACACAGGGGGCGCGCTTTTCTCTTGGCAGGTTCGGGTCAGGACGCCTATCTTCGAGGAATGAAACAACGCGCCTACCCTGGGTTACAAGTGCGTGGTCAGTAAACCTCCTGGGAGCTCCCACAGGCCAGAGAGCCGCCAGGACGCCGCGCGGCACGCGCGATACGCAGGGTTTACCCTGTCAGCCCACAGGAGGTTCAGCGCACAACGCCTCATAAACCAGGGTAGGATAGTTTTTTTACGCCCTCGATATCTCGGGAGGAAGCAGTCTAGTCCTTGCAGATGGGGTCCGAGTAGATGGGGCCGAAGGATCGCACCGCATCGCCGATGCATCGCCGATGCGGCCCGATGTGGAGCCAGCAATTCCCCAAGCCGAGAGCGGCGCTCCCGCCGCCGGGGCCACGCGGAACCCTCGGCATCGAGCCCTTGGCCGCGGGTCCTCCGGCGACGGCCTGCTGTCCCGCAGCTTCTTCAGCGTTGGGATGCGGAACGCGTCGCGCAGCTCCTCCGCGGGGCGGCGCGGCGCGATGGGACGCGGCCCGCCTTCCAGCCCCTTACGAGGGGGCGGTCCTCTCGGAGGGCAAGCGCGTGGTGCAGGCAGTCCCGGCAGCGGGGCGCAACGGCAGAAGCCTCGCACAGTCGTGGAACAGGGTCGCTGAGAGAGCCGCGGGGCTTGAAAAGGGACCGACCGTCCCGGCATTCCTATAGTCATACCACGAAATGTTCTTAGAACCCCAAAATGTTCTAAGAACAAAAGCAATGTTCTTAGAACATAACCCCCGATGTGTTAAAACAAGACAGTCCTAGCCAGAAATGTTCTAAGAACAGTTCGTCAGAAGTTCTTAGAACATTGTGTGGTGGGGCTGTAGGCGAGCCGGGACGCTTCGCTACTGCTTGAGGGGCCCGCCCGCCAGGCCCCCCGCGGGGTGGACGCGAGGGGGCGGTTGGGGGGGGGACGGGGCCGGCTGGGGGGGCCTCTTGCGTGGCGGGCCGGCGGCGGCCCTGGACGTTGCTTCCCCTGGCGCTCGCTCCGTTGCGGCCTCCGGGGGCAGTCTCTCGGGCCCGGAGGCTACATCACAAACCGGCCCGGGTCGAGACGCAGGGCTTTGCGGGCCTGCCACGGCTCCGGACCCCGTCGCGCCGTGTCGTGCCAAAAAACACACAAAAAAAAAAGGGGGCCTTGCGCAGTTTCGAGGCTCATGGGGCCCTCGCCCGGCCGCGCGGGGGCCGCCCAGAGAGCACCAGCCTGGGATTCGGCAAGAGGGCGGGGGCAGAGGCCCAGGCCTCCAGGACCCCGCAGCGTACGACGCCAGGGGCCTGGGAGCGGCTCGGCCACGGCCGGTGCATACCGTGCTGGCGTGAGCGTTGGTCGCTCATGCCGCGCAGAGCGTTCCGTCCGAAGCGGTCTCCGCTTGGCGGCGAGCCCGTGGGGGGAAGCGAGAGGGAGGAGGCCTTCTCAGGAGGGTCGGGAGTCCCCCGATCTGCTGGCGAGTTTCCTTGGCCTTCCCCGAAGGCGCAGAAAAAACCTCTCAGGAGGCGCGAGGGCTTCGGAGACGCCCCGCCGCCTGAGAGGGCCTCCTCCTTCTCTGATGGGCCTGTTTTCCACCACCACCACCACAACCATAAGTTGGAGGGGGAAGGAGGTGGAGGATGAGGAGGAGGAGGAGGAGGAGGAGGAGGAGCAGGAGGAGGACATGCCCCTCCTACTTATGGTGGTGGCGGTGGAAAACAAAACCACCATTCTCCCCCCCCCCCCTCGCTCCCCGCCGATGCGCGGTCCGACAACGGAGCCCGCTCTTGGTCGGCCCGGTTCGGGCCGCCGCCAGCGCAACAAAACTCTGAGCACCAAGGGACGGCGTCGCCTTCGCTCGCCACGGCGCGACCCCGCCGTGAGGTGCAGCGGGTCTTACACTGGCGCCCCTCTCAGCGCCAGAGGCGGTCGTGCACGTCGAGGAGCGTGCCCGGCGACGGGGCCGATGCCAGCCGCCTGCCCTGAGATCCTGGCGTTGCAGTATACTCTTAGCGGGGTCTAGGCTCTGGGACCCTCCGAGACCGATCTGGGCCTGGAAAACGGCGCAGAGAGGTGGGTCTGGGGCTCCGGTGGTGATTTGTTTTGCAAGGTTGCACGTTTTGGGGAGCGTCAGATCTGAAGGTGCAAAAGATTTCATAGCCGAGAAGGGTCTTTAGTTTTGGGTCCCCCGGCTATGTCTCGACCCTCCTCTTCCTCCCCCTCCTCCACCACCTCCTCCACCTCCTCCTCCTCCTCCTCCTCCTCCTCCTCCTCAAAGTCCCCCCCTCGTCCTCATCCTCCTCCTCCTCCTTCTCCTTCTCCTTCCCCATGCCAAGGGGGGGTCACCACTAGGGGGTCCCACCCTCCTCGAGGAGGAGGACCCAAGCCTTCCAAATGGACGCAACAAGCACAGTTCTTCGTGTGGGTGGTGGTTGGGTTCTGTCACCTGGCTTCGCGATCGGTCCTATCCTATCCTGTCCTATCCTCCCCCCGCGTGGCCCCCCCTCCCGTGAAGAGCCCTGGGTCGGCGTGTGCGTGCCCGCCCCTATCCCCCCCCCCGCCCCGCCGCGGGCCTGGCCGCCCCCATCCCGAGGCCCCAGGGGTCGTCGCAAGCAGGGCCCCGCGACCTCGATTGCGGCAGCTCGCAGGCCGCCGGAGTGACCGGGGACCGGGTCAGGTTAGGTCGGGCATGTCCCCCTGCAGGCGGATTTGGGCAGATGGAAAAACAAAGATATACAGAAAAATATCCCCAAATGGTCAAACATAGTCCAAAAATCCCCCCAGACTGAGTTTTTGATTATGTTTGCGTTGAATATTCCTCCTGTATAGAGGGGCGCGCCCGACTTGAGGGTAAAGGGAGCTGCCCGCCGCCCCCCCCCCCCGAGGGGTCCTTCGCAGCGCTCGAGGTGAAGCCCGCCTCCACCAGCACGTCCGCCAGGGGCTGCTCCTCCTGGCATCGCCCCGCCGCGCTCGCTCTCGCCGCGCGCCCCTCCCGCCTCCACTGTGGAGTTGCAGGGGCGAGGAGCGCGGGACGGCCGCGACGCCGCACACGTACACAAACGCGCCCTGTCGCAAAAAGCAGCGCGGCCGGTGCCGGGCTGCGTTCCAGGCCTCTGGCTGACAGGCGGAAGCCGCAAGACGACGAGGGGGATGAGGCCGAGTGGTCCTTCTTCTGCTCCCTCTGCTCCTCCTCTTACGCATGCTTCCTCATCCCATTATCTTCCTGCTCCTCCTCCTCCTCCTCCTCCTCCTCCTCCTCCTCCTCCTCCTCCTCCTCCTCCTCCTCCTCCATCGTCCTCCTCTTGCTCCTTCTCCTCCTCCTCATTCCTCCTCCTCCTTCCTCCGCCGCCTCCCTTCCTCCTCCTCCTCTCCTCCTCCTCCTCCTTTCTCCTCCTCCTCCTCCTCCTCCTCCTCCTCCTCCTCTCCTCCTCCTCCTCCTCCTCCTCCGCCTCTCCCCCTCCTCCCCCTCATCCTCCTCCTCCTCTCCTCCTCCTCCTCCTCCTCCTCCTCCTCCTCCTCCTCATCATCATCATCCTTCTTCACATCTACCTCCACCCCCTCCAACAACAGCGGCGATAAACGACTCTACCACCACCACCACCACCACCACCACCACCACCACCACCACCACCACCACCACTATCGCGACCAACGCCACTGTTACTGGTAGCGATGTTGTTGATGGTTATGGTGCTGATGATGATGATAATGATGGTGGTGATGAGATGATGATGATGATGATGATGACGATGATGATGATGATGATGATGCTGGTGAAGATGATAATGATGATGATGCTGATGATGATGACGATGATGATGATGATGGTGATGATGATGGTTGTGATGATGATGACGATGATGATGGTGATGATGATGATGATGATGACGATGCTGATACTGATTATGATGATGGTGGTGGTGATGTTGGTGATGGTGATGGTGATGGTAATGGTGGTGGTGATGGCGATGGTGATGGTGATGGTGATAGGGATGGGGATGGTGATGATGATGATAGTAATGATGGTGAAGATTGTGCTGCTCATGATGGTGGTGCTGATGAGTATGATAATGATGAGTATGATGATGATGCTGAAGATGATGAGGGTGATGATGGTGCTGCTGATGATGATGATGATGACGATGATGATGATGATGATGATGATGATGATGATGATGATGATGATGATGATGATAACGGTGTTCATGATGATGATGATTCTTATGATATTGATGATGCTGCTGCTGCTGATGATGATGATGAGGAGGAGGAGGAGGAAGAGGAGGAGGAGGAGGAGGGGGAGGGGAACGACAACGCTGCCACTACAACTAGCACTGGCACTACCACTGCACCTGAGCCCACAACTCCTTCTACGACCACGCGTTCCACTGACACGATCACTACTGACCAAACCAAGACCACCACTGCTACACTGTCACTACCAATGCCAAAACCACTACATACCACTACTGGCACTGCAATGCCGGAGAGACGACGACTACTATTGCCTACACTCCCCGAAGCCTCCCCACCAACACGCTACCCCTGGCGCTGCCAATGCCGGTGCTGCGGCGACTGGTGCCGCCATAGATGGCTACTCTGCTACGAAGCTACCGTCTTGACTGCGACAACTATCATCACGACTGACTCTGCGACTCTCATCTCCGCGACTCCCTGCCACTGATGCCGCTGCACCAACCGCTGCAAACTAATAGAACGACCACCGGTACGCCCGGCGGCGCGCCAGGCGCGCCGCAGCGTCCACACGCTGGCACACCCGGCACACACAGAGCGCGCATGGTCCACATGTCTGACCTGTCGCACCTATAGAGCACGTGGGAGGCACGCATGCGGCGCTCCTGCAGCGGAGGCCAGTCCACTAAAGACCTTCCACAAGAAACCCAACCCTGAGACCCCAGAACGTCCCTTGATTTTCGGTGTGGGAGCGTCACGCTGTTCCACAGCAGAGCCACCGAAACCCAAGAGACCCAGGGCACCCTGGAGGCAAGCAGGGTGTTTCTTGTCATGGATCTCCACTGCAGCACGTGCCGTGGATGTGCCCCACCCGGCGCCCTGCGCGCCCAGCCGCGCCAGGCGCACGCTGCCCTCGCGGAGGGCTCCTGGTGCGCCCAGCGGCCCTTGGCACGCCTGGCGCACCTGGCTCTCGCCCTGGCGCGCCGAGCACATCTGCCTCACAACTATGCCGCGGCGTCGAGGATGGAGCACGGGCCATGCTCAGCAGGTGGCCCTCGCCCCAGCGCCACACACACACACACATCCCATGACAACCTCGGATCGGAGCACGGGGAGGGTGGCTCTCGCCTCAGCGCCGCGCGCCGTCGTCTGAAAGTCTGCAGCAGTTTCAGGGGTGGAGAGGGTCGCCTTCAAAATGTCTCACACGCACAGTCGTCTGACACGCTTGCAGCAGCTTCAGAGGTGCTTCAAAGATGGAGGGCGCATCCTTGCGTCAGAACGTGACCCACGCCTTGTGGCAACGGGCTCTGAAACCTAGGGCCCTTCCCTGGGACCAACTCTATATCCTGAGCCGTTTCTGTGACAGCCCAGTCCTCCTCCTCCCCCTCCTCCTCCTCCTCCTCCTCCTCCTCCTCCTCCTCCCCCTCCTCCTCCTCCTCCGCCTTCTCCTCCTCCTCCTTCTCCTCCTCCTCCTCCTCCTCGCCCTCCTCCTCCTCCTCCCCCTCTTCCTCCAGATCCCCTCGGAGGGCCCTGGGAACCCGAGAGCGACCAAAAGCTTCAGGACCCCTTGTCCTCAGGACCCCTTTTCTACCTGCGCCATTCGTCGCGCCGGGTCGATCTGTGAGCGCCCCGGGGCCCAGAGCTGGGCGAGATCGCCCAGTACGAAAACTGGCCACACGCAAGAGTGGCCCTAGGCAAGGGTGGCCTCTGGTGCGCGGCCTTTAAGGGGGGCCCTCTGGGGACACCACCGGGCGCGCGAGCCGCTGCTATCGCGTCGCATTCGGCGACCCGGGGGGCCCCAGCGGGCCAGCACCGAAGGTCACTCCGGCAGTAGGTCTCTCCCGCGTGCGGCCGAGAAACATCTGCAGCGCCAGGACCTCAGGGGCTGGCCGGCCTCTTCGCCCCGGCAGGCCGTCGCCCACGCCGCTCTTCGGGCGCGGCCCAATTGACCGCCCCTGGCAGGCCAACCCTCGCCGTGGCGTCCTCCTCGCCTTGCAAGCCCCCCTCCGGCCGCGTGCACACGTCTTGGGGCGAGGCGAGGGGGGCGTCACGGAAGGAGATGGACTGCTAGGGGTCGGTGAGGCCGCCCCTGATCTCCGCGGCAGGCGGGCCAGCCGCGCGCGCGCGCGTGCGGCTGCGGCCGGGTCCTTGGCCCTCGCTGCCTCGAGTGCGGCCGCCTCCGCCTCCAGCGCCGCGCGCTCGGGGAGCGACAGCAGCGTCGCGCGCTGGGTGGCGACCAGCTCGCGGGCGACGAGGAGCTGCGGGGAGCGCGCGCCGCGGGGCGGCTGCGGCTTCAGAGGAGGTCACCTCCTCCTCCTCCTCCTCCTCCTTCTCCTCCTCCTCCTCCTCCTCCTCCTCCTCCCAAACTCCTCCTCCTCCGCCTCCCCCTCCTCTTCCTCCTCCTCCTCCTGATCCTCCTCCTCTCCTCGTCCTCCTCTCCTCCTCCTCCTCCTCCTCCTCCTCCTCCTCCTCCTCCTCCTCCTCCTCCTCACTGCTGCCGGCACTGCCCCCGTGGCCGCCACCGTTGCCGCTGCTCGCCGCCGCCACCACCGCCGCCGCCACGGGTGGTGCTGCCGCCGCTGCAGGTGCCGACAATACTCGCACACTCAGGCGGATCCTCGCTGCTGCTGCTTCCGTTGACGTCCGCCAGAGCGCCGCAGGCACTGAGCGGCGTGTGTCTTCTTGCCCCGCGGAGACCTCAGCATTCCGTTCACACTGTGGGAGCTCTGTAGAGGGGCCTGGACCCCGGAGCTCCAGGAGCTCTTGGGCGCGCCTGGGGTGCGTCGCGAGACTTCTCCAAAATCCTCGGGGGCGTGATTGGAAGTCCGTGCTACCCACGTGTCCCAAGATGACCCAAAGAGGACCGTCCTGGGGCACTCTGGGGAACCTCTTGGGCCGCCATGGAGGCCCAGGGTACCAGCCCAAAAAGCCAAAACCTTCGAGATCCGTGCGGTTGTTGTTGTTGATGTTTTCCCAACTTGGCCCCCTTTCCGTGAACATGAACGTCCAAGACAGGCCAAGAGGCCCCAACCAAGATCGCCCCAAGACGGACCCGAAGCCTCCGACAGAAGCCCGAGAGGGCCCCACGATGCTCCCAAGAAGGGCCCACGACGGAAACCAGGCCTGACATCTGGAGCCCTCCACCCCCAAGATGGCCCCCGAGACCGCTGGAAGGCTCCCCGAGACGCCCCCAGGAGGCTCCAAGAGGCCCCCAAGAGGCATCCAGGAGGCTTCACAGAAGCCCCCCAAAGAGGCACCCAAGAGGCATCCTGTCGGCGACCCGGGCACAGTGCCGGGGTGGGCGGAATGCCTCTAGATTTAGGTCGGGCATGTCCCCCTACAGGCGGATTGTGGACGACAAATAAAAAATATCAAAGAATGCTCCCAAAGTTTCAAAAATAGTCAGAAGGTCGTCCCCAGACTAGTTTTGCTGCAGCTTCTGAACATTCCTCCTGTAGGGGGACACGCCCGACTGAACTCTAGATTTGTCGCCCCAGGTTGACTCATCGAAGGGGCGCCTGGCGTGTCGAACCACATTGGATTTGGGCTCTTCCAGGAGGTTCCCACTGTCGCCCGGCCGGGGCCGCCGCTTCCGCACGACACCGCCCAGAAGCAGCACTCCACTTGAAATTCCGACAAGATAGCTCGAAGAGGGTCTACAAGATCGCCCTGGACGCCATAAAGTCGGTCCAAGGTGGCCCCGGCGGCCCAGTGGCCTTCGAGTCGGCTCCCGCTGCCTCCAAAATGGCCCAAGGGGGCCCGAGGACGGCCACAGATGGCCGCAGGACGGCCCAAGAGGACCCCAAGATGCCCCAAGAGGCCTCCAAGAGGACCCCCAGGAGGGCAAGAGGCGAAAGTCACTGATGCCCCTGAATGTGTCAGAGGTGCTGCGGTTTCTCGCCAGCGTCCAAAAAGGCCCAGGAGGCCGCCAAGACCGGCCCAACAGAACCGTGGCGACAGCCCCCTGCTGGCCCAAGAGGGTCCCAAGACGGCCCCACGAGAGCTCCAAGACGGCCCTGCAGGGTTCCAAGAGGGCCCCAAGACGGCCCACAAAAGCCCCCCAGACAGCCTCAGAAGGCACCATCCGGCCCAAGAGCATCCTCAGACGGCCCGAGAGGTCCCCAGGATGATCCCAGAGGGCATCAGGCGGCACCACAAATTCTAAAGGGCCAAAGACAAAGCCCCAGGACGGCCCCAAGACGACTCACAGACCCACAGGCCCCTCCCGAGTTTGCCCCAGCGGACTCCTCAACAGCCGTCGGAGAGCACGCAGTCCACCAGCATGGCCGCCGGTTCGCTCGGCATCTCACGACGCAGGCGCTTCCGGAAAGCAGAGGGTGGCGGTGAACCGCCGCAGGCGTCTTCGATCAGACAGTCGACCCCCGTGTCATAGGGGATGCGCGGTAAGGATGCAGGGGCCTTGGAGGGCCAAATTGAAGTTTTTCGAACGAGGTTGGCCAGTGAGAGTCGCTGAGGATGGGCCGAAGGGGTAAGGATGCAAGGATGCCCTTGGGGGAAGGCTTCCCATCCGTATCATGCGGGCTGACTGCATCCGTCAGCATGCCGCGAGAGGCACTGAGTTAAGTGCCATCCAGTCCCGTCGAGTTCTCTGTCTGGAATAATGCGAATACTCCCGCGCTGCGAGACCCAGACCCGCGCGAGCTGCGAGACTTCGGCAGCGCTCTTGGGGTGTGTTGCGCACGACTTCCTCCGAAACCAACAACCAATCAAAAACCATCGGTCTTTGAGCTTCTTCGGCCCCGGAGGGTGAGAACACGAACTGGCCCCGCGAGCCCCCTTGCCTGTTGTGCCACGATGGCCCCGAGACCAGCAGGAGGCAACCAGCGGCGCCCAAGCAGCACCAAGCGGCGCCCAAGAGGGCCCCCAAGAGGACCCCGGGAGGCCCCCAAGGGGTCCCCCGACGGGCACCCCGAGATGCCGGCAGGAGGCACGCAGGAGGCCTGCGCCCCACAGCCGAGGCACCGCGGCAGGATGGGCCGACAGCGACTGGACACTCCTTCCCCCCGAAGGGGGGCGGGCTTGGATAGACAGCATATATCATATGTATAATCTATAAACCTTCAAGCAGTTGGTGTCTTACTTGAAATGTGATAGTTCGTTCAAGCGCGCAGACGTAGGCGCTGTTAGGCACTGATGGCCAGGAGCGCCTACGAATCCGGTCGGTGGCTCAGCGAACACACGGCACGAGGAACAGTTGGGAGGGAGGAGGAGCGGGGCAGGGGACGTGCTGAGAGAAGAAGAGAGGAGGCCGACCGACGTAGGCGTAAAGCCCGATGCAGCCCTGAGGCGAAGGGGGCCGCGAAGTCTGGCAGACTTCGTGGCCCCGGCCACGATACATCCGCACACCCCTTGCCCTCATCCCCCCTGACGTGCGACGATGCGGGGGGGGGGGGCCGGCGCAGGGTGGAAGCACCAAGCCGGCATTGGCGCTGCGTCGCCGATGTAGCTCGGCGATGGGCACCCGATGGCGAATCGCCACGCTTCTCGGCGAGGTGGACTGTCGGGCCCCTGCCGGCGATGAGTGGGCGCTTTGGGGTCGATGCATCCCCCCCCCCCTGACATTCAAAGGCGACGATAGGGGCGAATAGCCGAGGGGAGAGCAATGCATGTATTCAGGTGCGCCGATGATTCGTGTCTTCGAAAAGGCTCCCGGGCGAATGCGTGTCATGCCCGCCCCTGGGCTATTCGCCCCTACCGTCGCCTCCGAAACATCATGGTCGGGAACGTTTGCTCAGCGCGTCGCGGCGGCGCGCCCCGGCGACACGCTATGCCTTGCGAGTGGATAGGAGGAGGAGGAGGAGGAGGAGGAGGAGGAGGAGGAAAAGGAGGAGCGCCAGTACCTTCCGCAGAGTTCGTCAACGACTCAACCTCGACGCCTCGGCCTGAGCCAACAGTATGGCCTAGCCGCGTGGGGCGGAGGGGGTAACATCGAGTAATTGTTTGGCATTTTGGCTAATGCCGCTGTGAGGGCATCTAGCTGCTGCGGTAGAGTTGAAGGGCGCCCGTCTTGATGCGAGGCGATGTCCTTAGCAACGTGGAAAATATAGAAACTGAGAGCTGTTGCTAGAATTGCAATTTCCCTGATCAGGTCAAGCGCGAAATATTGCACAGGGAGCCCAAGCCCTAGACGGAGGAGGGGGCACGGCGAGACGACAGCTCGAGGACGACAAACGAGGTAGGTGAGACGGGGGCACTTTACATAGTGCGCTATGCAATCGGTATGGGAACACCCGAAAACACAGCTCCATGAAGTGTCTGTAGCGTGCATTCGGTCCGTGGTGGTCCAGGGAGGCCCCAGGAGGCGAAAGCGAGGCAGGGGTGGCGCCATGGGCACCCTTCCCTCCTCTTGGATCGGACGCCCCCGACACCCCGCCTGCCCTCGGGGATCTACAGACCCAGGTCCATCCAAACCCTGGTCCGTCAGGCTTGGCAGGACCCTGCAGGATCCTGCAGGATCCTCTCCTCCCCTCCTCCTCCTGCTCCTCCTCCTCCTCCTCCTCCTCCTCCTCCGCCTCCTCCGTCTGCTCCTCCTCCTCCCCCTCCTCCTCCGGTTCCACCTCCTCTTCCTCCACCTTCCCCCGTCCTCCAAGCCCGCGTCAGCGCGCCCTTGGCCCCGCAAGATCTGGCGCTCTGGGGGACCCCCGTTCTGCATTGACCCCCGTCTCTCGAGCACCGGCGGCCCCGCTCGGCCCCCTCCGCCCCAGCACCCGGGGGGGGGCGGGGGAGCCGCGGCGCTCCGAGCCTGGTAGCGCGGCTCGGAGCAGACCACGCCCTCCGAGAACCGCCGCACCAGCGGGTGCCTTGCGGGAGGGCCCCCCCTGGGGGGGGGTCGGCGGGTGGCGGGCACCGGGAGTTTACGATTCCAGCTCCTTACCACGCAGAATACGCAACGAAACGCCATATAAATACATTTATACACGTATGTATGTGTAGATCGAGATGCAGCTACACACCCATACATGTACATATATATATGCACACACCTACATACATACATACATACATACATACATACATACATACATACATACATACATACATACATACATACATGCATACATACATACATACATACATACATACATACATACATACATACATATATATATACATACATACATACATATATATATATATATACATATATATATATATATATATATCGATATATATATATATCGATATACATATGTACATGTATACACATATTCATACATATATATATATATATGTATGCATAAATACATACGTATATACATACCTCCCGACCGACCTACCTACCTACCGACCTACCGACCTACATACATGCACTCACACATACACATTCACGTACATACATAAAAACCTACATGCGTGCATGCATACAAACATAGATGCATACATACATACACACATTCAGACACACGTACGTACGTGCACACATACATACATGTAGACATACATGCACACACATACATACATTAATTCCTACATACATACATACATACATACATACATACATACATGCATACATGCATACATGCATACATGCATACATGCATACATGCATACATGCATACATGCATACATGCATACATGCATACATGATGCATACATACATACATACATACATACATACATACATACATACATGCTTACATTACACAAATACATGCAATCATACATACTTACATACATACATACGTGCACACGTACATACATACATACAGACACACGTACGTACACACATGCATACGCACATACATGCATACATACACACATACATGCATATACACATACATACAGACATGCATACAAGCATACATACACACATACATGAACACATACATGCGTATATACATACAGACATACATACATACATACATACATACATACATACATACATACATACATACATACATACATACATACATCTATATACATACATACATAAACACATACATACATACATACATACATACATACATACATACATACATACATACATGCATGCATGCATGCATGCATGCATGCATGCATAACTTATACATACATACATACATACATGCATGCATGGAGGCATGCATGCAGGCATGTATACATACATGCATGCCTACATACATCCATGCATGCCTACATGCGTGCATGCATACGTGTCTATAAAGACACTAAAAGCCACGCGCGCGCTTCGCGCGCTTAGGTTCTAGCAGGCCCCAGGCCTTGACGAGTTCACTGCTCCACTGAAGTAGTGGACCACAAATGGATTGAACGGGAAGTGAAGAAGTGCCCAAAACGCTAAACGCATGATGGGCAGTGGGAAGTCCACGAATGTCAATCCGTATTCCGGAAAGCTTCCGGGAAGATCGTTGCGTAGGGGGGCGGAAGCCTGTTTAATCGGATTCCCAGAAGGCCTTCTGGGAACATGGTTTTGGGGGGCGTCTTGGGGAGCCTTTTGAGGCGTGCCGTCGTAGTCGTCGTCGTCGTCGTCGTCGTCGTCGTCGTCGTCGTCGTCGTCGTCGTCGTCGTCGTCGTCGTCGTCGTCGTCGTCGTCGTCGTCGTCGTCGTCGTCGTCGTCGTCGTCGTCGTCGTCGTCGTAGTGTCGTCGTCACCTCTTGGGGCGCGCCGTCGTCGTCGTCGTCGTCGTCCTCGTCGTCGTTTCGTCGTCCTCGTCGTCGTCGGATGGACCCCTACCAAGATTCATCCAGCGCAGGTTGCCGCTCCAGATCGAAGCACGAGGACCCCAGGGCCCGAGAACGGCCCCCGAGGGCAGAGAGCTCCGCGCAACCGCTTCGAACATCGCAGGTTCGAAGCTCGTCGTCGTCGGATGTCGGCAGGGAAAAAGATCAGTCATGTTCCCAGCCAACCTCCCAGACAGCTCTCCGGTAGCGTGATGGTGCTTTGGAGCCTACGGAGACTCTCGGGCCCATGATGAACCACATCCCGGAAGGCGTTCTGGGGACATGATCTGCTAGGGTGTGTTGGGGGGGCCTCTTGGGCGTTCCCTGGAGGCCCGGGGGGGCCTCTTGGGGCTTCCTGAGGGCCTGTTGGGGGCCGCACGGGGCTTCTTGGTGGCCTCTGGGGGGCTACTGGGTGCCTCTAGGGCCAGGGACCTCGAAATATCAATTCGTGGTCTCCCTCTGGGCCCCCTCTCGGGGCGTTCTTGGGGCACACTTGGGTTGTCTGGGGAGCCTTCTGGGCCGTCTTGGGACCCTCTTCGGCGCCTCGTGGGCCGTCTTGGAGCGATCTGAAAGGCCTTCGAGGCCGTGAGGGAGCGCTGGGAAGCGGGAAAACCGAGAACGCCAGAATCCTCCCAAAACCCTCCAGACATGCACGAGTTGTGCCTCCCAGGACCCTCTCGGGGAGCCTTTCGAGACCGTCCTGGAGCGTGTTGGGGTCCTCGTCTTGAGGGCATCTTGGGCGTCTTCGGGGCCTCTTGGGACCGTCTTGGGCCCCCTTGGCGCCCCCTGGGCCCGTCGTGGCCCGTTCCGGGGCGGGCCCGGGGCCGTCTCGGGGACTCTGGGACCCTCCGCAGAAACCCGGGGGGCGACCATGGGGGGTAAAGGCACCGGCACGGCCCAGCCCCCGGCCTACTCCTATATATATATATATATATATATATATATATGGATATGTATGTATGTATGTATATATATAGTGATAGACATAGACATCTATATATATATATATATATATATATAAACAAATACTTACATACATATATGTATATGAATGTGTGTGCTTGTGCTTGTAGGAAGACGTGTAAACAAAACACCTAAACATGTATACATACGTGAATCGATACATCCATCCATACACACACGCATACATACATGCATACACACATGAAATCAGGCATGCATAGATACATGCATGCATATATATATATATATACATATATGTATATACACATACATACATACATACATACATACATACATACATGCATGCATGCATACATACATACATACATACATACATACAATCCTACATTCATACATTAGCTGCATGCATACATACATACACACACCCATACAGACATGCATAAATGCATGCATGCTTACATGCGCACGTACACACGTACGCATATACATACATACATACATACATACATACATACATACATACATACATACATACATACACACATACGTACGTACGTACGTACGTACATACATACATACATACATACATACATACATACATACATGTATGCACACATACATACATTCATGCATGCATACATACATACATACACACATATACACATGTATACATGCATGTATGCATGCATGTTTGCATGCATATGAAAGGACACGTTCACATATGCATACAACTGCACGCTACGGTATATACAAGCACATATACGCGCATGCAGTCATGTATGCATACATGCATACCCACATATATTTAAAACAAACAAAAACATGCATACATGCATACACGCATACATGCATATGCATATACATGTGTCTTGATTTATACATATACAAATACATGTGCATAAACATGTGCATGGACATATCCATCTGCATAACAATACACATATATATATATATATGTGTATATATATACATATGTCCACAGACATATCCGTACACGTATGCGTAAACACATACATACACACATTCATACATACAGGCAGACCGACAAACAGGCAGACCGACCGAAACGCATACATACACGAAAATATGATTGCATGCATGCACACATACGTACATACATACACACATACACACATACAAACATACGCGCATACACACATACAAATAAGCATACACATACATACATGCATACATACATACTTGCAGACATCCGCACAGACATACATACCCACAGACGTCAGTGGCTCTCAGCGGTGATTGATACACAGCCACCCTCCCCTGAGGCCCCTGAGTCCACCCGTGGTGGACGACAACACCACGGGTGCCACGACCACATCGCGAATCAAACGATCGCTGGGCACACCGGGAGCACTGCAACGCAACGCTCCCAGCGGGCGCCCAGCTGCTGGTCAGGTCCGAAGGCGTTCGGCCCTTCGGGCGAAAAGGTGATGCCCAAACCACATAACGCCTCGTGGGGGGCGTCTCGTTCACCCTCCAGGTGATGGGCAAACTGCTGCCCGCGCGACGGGGGTGCCCGGCGCACACTGACAAGCACCCCATCCAACGCCCCCGAGTCGGCGTGAACTGGCCTTGGCAGCGGGGTGCTGGTCCTTCGGCCAGTCGACCGATCGACAAGTCGCGACGAGAGTGACCCCAGGAACCAGAAGGAACGCTGCCGGATTTCGTCCAGCAGCGCTTCCCTCGGTCCGCGCACGCCCCGCTCCCTCTGAGCCCTCCCCTCGTCCCACCGCCACGGGGGGGCCGGCGCGGCAGCGGCGCAGCGGGGCACGCGCGCAGGCGCGCACGTGCGCGCGCACCGGGCGGCGGGGAGCTTCTTGCGCGCACACTTGCGCGAAGCCGCGAGAACGCGCTGGGCTGAAGTCGGGCGTGTCCCCCTGCAGGGGGATTTTAGACGAAACATAGGAAATACCCCAAAAAGATTCCAAAATGTTCAAAAATTGCTGAACTATGTTTTGCTATTTTTGAATACTCCTACTGTAGAGGGACAGGCCCGACTTAACGCTAGGCACTGGCATGGGGGAGGCACAGACGGCACACCACAGCAACGCACGCACAGCACACATGCAGATGCACGACGCGAAGCGACGCGCAGAGCAGAAGTCCCATGCGCACATCGGCTCGGCTGCCATGCGCACGCGAGAATGCATCATCCTGCGTACGGCACAGTGTCTGAAAATGGCGCGAAGCACCAGACACCAGCACTGCAGTCGTCGTGTTACCGCAAGAAACGCTGAATAAGAAACCAAGGGTCTGTTCTGGCCACGGCGAGCCTCAGCTCCGAATGGGCCACCCGAGCTAGATCCAGGGAGCGGCCCGAAAACCAGAGCCACTCCTGAGCCTGACTTCAGCGTCTTGACTGTAACCTGTCACGAGCGGCGAACATCTCGATACCCGCATCCTCGCGGTCTGGATTCCGGAGCGCGTTCCCGCGGGCACGCGGTCCCACGGATACGTTCGGCGCGTGGCATCCGGGGACAAACAAAACACGCCCCGCGTCCGCGGGGTCGCGGCCCAGGGCCCAAGCCCTACGAGGCAACGCGGATGTGGATGTGTGCGGCCGATTCCATGGGCTGGGCGACGCAACGCGGCGGGGGCCCGACTTCGGCCCGATGTCTTTGGATCAAAAAGCGCGCTACAAGTTGAACGCAACGTGGAGATCGCGCCAAATCTGGGGGGGGCAAAGCGGGCCCTCTCCAACCGCCGATCTACGAAGATCAGAAAGAAAATCAAAACATAAGAATTGACCTCCAAACTTTCTGCGATTGGTCAGAGCTGAGACCCTGAACCCCAAAAGCCTTGCCATCTCTTGGAGGGCGCATCTCTTACTTCCGCCGCCTTCCGGCAGCCTTCCGCCGGCCTCCGCCGGCGGCGGCGGCCTCGTGTTGCTTCCGCCGACCTTCCACCGCCCTTCCGCCGCCTCCCGCCGCGGAAGAAGTGGCAACTCCTTCGATCCTCGGAGGCGAGGCCTTTTTTGGAACGCCCCCTGTGTTCTGCCCACGAGCATGCACCCGTGCCTTTCTCGTCTGCCCAGATGCGTACACGAATGTGCGCGTGCAGGCCGGCCCTCGGGCCGGGCGCACACGGCAGAGCCCGACCGGGACCAAGGGTACAATAAGGGGCGCTGCAGACAGAGAAGCGGGCGCCTCCCATTCCTCTCCGCCCACGCCTGGAACGACCCCTGCGCCTCGACGCCCTCCATCACCTCCAGGATGACCTCGGGGAGCAGAAGCCGTCCACCTCGGTCCTCCTCCTCCTCCTCCTCCTCCCCCCTCTGGCGCACACTGCAGGCCGCGGGCACGAAGACCCCGCAGAAGACTCAGGGAAGGGCCTCCCCAGAGAGCCTATTCATCCTCCTCCTCCCTTTCCTCCTCCTCCTCCTCCTCCTCCTCCTCCTCCTCCTCCTCCTCCTCCTGCTTCTCCTCCCCCTCTCCCCTCCTCCTCCAGTTCCACCTCCTCTTCCTCTACAGTCCCCCATCCTCCACCTCCTCCTCCTCCTCCTCCTCCTCCTCCTCCTCCTCCTCCTCCTCCTCCTCCTCCAGCGCACGCTCCGTAGCCGTTTTGGCTCAAGCCATTTTGGCTCAAGGGGCTCGAGGCCGAGGTGGAAGGGGAGCTCCTTCCTAGGCCTGGCTGCCTCGGCTAGATTCTGGTTCAATTTCTCGCCAGCAGCCCTCGCGCGCGCCGTATCCGAGGCAAACAGCACCTTGTGCCGCTTGCCGCGCTGCTGCTGGTGACATCATGGCGCCGCCCAAGAGTCGGAACCGTGATCGCTCACAGACAAGGGCCAGCATACCCTACCAGGTGTGTCCACATCCATCATGCGGGGGATGGTCCTGGACAGGGGAAATGTGGTGCAGCGTTCTGAAAGGCCCCCACGGAGTACATCACCAAGTCCTCTACTCAGCGGCCGAGCTCTACGAGGCCAAATCGTTGATGCCGCGTGCAGTTCGTCGCCACCAGCGCTGCTGCCAGCGCCATGGACTTGGACGCGGGAGAAGATGAAGCAGCTGAACCTCCAGCTGACCCAGCCCATCTCTGCATCCAGGCCGTCACCTTCTGGCGCCGAACAGAAGGAATGGATCTCACTACATCGCGGCCCCTTCCCCAGTTCGGCGCTTCCAGAAGAAATTGTTGGCCATGAAGGGTGGGCGTTCTATTGGTAGCTTTGCACCAAACTTTCGCTCAAGGAGTGGAAACGTGTTTGGTGGGGTGCTGCGCCGTTCACTGAAGAAGGAAAACAGATGTGCACCATGGAGTGCCCAGTGTGAGCGCTCCTTCCCCACCCCCCCTAGCTAGGAAATTATCTGGGTATTGCAGCGCCTGTGTGTGCTTGTCTGGGCCAAGTGCCCTCTGGACAGGCTATGTCACCGTTAAATATAATCAGCACGATCTCCAACATGATATTCAGACCTCGTGTTGGCAAATGTACTCGGGCGCTTTCCTGCAGCTTCAACGCCGGCCTGATCGGCACCCGATTTCGGAACAGAAGGCGCATAGGTTCGTGAACCATGTCGCGGACCCGGGGGCCAAAGATGCTCGTGCCAGCCATCCTAGAGACGAGGAGGTGTTGGAAGATTCTGACGTCTGTGCGAAGTTTGGTAGGGCGGCATGCAAAGTTGCCGCTAAGCTGTTGCCCGAGCCAACACCTCTGAGTGCCACGAGAGACCTGCAGTGTCCTCTCAAGCCCGCGGCCCCGACCCCCCACCCGACAAGGCACCGCTGGTTTCGTTACAGAGCTTTTGGCGCTGCGAGCGTTGCCTCTCAATTCGTCGCCCGCGGGACGTTGCAAACACCCCTCCTGGTAAGTGAAACGGCTTGAGGGCCTGCTCTTGGAAAAATCCTGCGCGCATCCATGCAGCGACCGTGCTGAGCTACACCTCTCATGGGCTGATCCCAGGACTGAGGAAGGCCTGTGAGCCCCCAGCTGGCTAGCTCGGCGGGTGGGCCTGGTCTCACACTGCAGCAGGCCCCCACCCAAAGCGTAAAGGTGTTAGATTTAGGTCGGGCGTCTCCCGCTACAGGCGGATTTGTGATGAAAAATCAAAGATCATCGACAACCATATTTTTTTAAAAGAAAAAACGGGCCAACATGTTCTTAACACACGAAAGAAACATCCCCTGACCATTTTTCCTATTCTTGAATATTCCTCCTGTAGAGGGACAGGCCCGACTTAATGTGGAGAATATACTGGAAGCTGGAGTCCGCTCGAACCCGCCGCTGCCTCTCTGTCAGGACTCCTGCTGGAGCCTGCCTCTCTCGCCACGGCCAAGCTCCTTGCTGGCCCCACTTTGAGGGGAAACGGCACGGTGGTTCGACCCCATGTCGGGCGTTGGTAGAACTGGGTTTGGTGGAACCTGGTTTAATGATCTGTACCGGGGGCGCCCCCCCGTCCCATCTCCACTAACCAGAACTGCCGTCACCCGAAAAAACAAAAGCTACGGCAAACCTGGTTTAGTGATTCTGGTCAATTCAAAGGCTCCGGGGCCCTACCACTAACCGGGTCCCCTTACCCGGGGTCCTGGCCATACCCAACCCTGAGCTCCACGCCCTCACAGTCAGTCTCCCTTTTGCTAGGGCGGAAATCCTCCTCCTTCGCGCACCTCCCCGACCTCACAGTCAACCTCCCCCTTTCAAGGGGGAAATCCTCCTCCTTCGCGCACATCCCCGCCCTTACTGTCAAGCTCCCCCTTTCCAGGCCACGAGGCCAGAGCGGCCATTCGACGACGAGCGCATCGCCCCCACAAGCCGTGGCGACCTGCCCGTGCCCGAACTGACAACCGTGATGGCCCGCCCTCCTCCTGGGCAGCCTGGCACGATCGGGGGAGGGGGGAGGAGTGCAGCATCGGAGGAGCCCAGAGTGTGCACCAACTCGTCTGCACGGCCGAGGAGTCCAGCGCTCAGGCGCCCAAGCTCCCCAAGCTGCGGGGTCCCTGAGATCCGACGAATCGGAAAAACTGCAACCTCGCGAAGAACCCCGACCGGCGCCCTGGACCAAATCCTCCTGCTGCTATGTCCGAGCCGAATCGAGCTGCGGGGTCCCCGAGCCGGAAACCATGCGAAAACGCTGAGCCCGAATCAATGACAGTAGGGGCTCGACCACCAGAAACCTTCCACGAGAGACCCAACCCTGAGACCCCAGGGCGTTCACTGCTACTTGGTGTGGGAACGTCACACGCCTTCCGCGGAAAAAACATCGAAACCCGAGCAATTCAGGGCACCCTGGAGACAGGCAGGGTGTTTCGGGAGCGGCCAAGAGGGGGGCGTCCAAGAGGGAGGGGGTGCAAATCATGGCCAGCGGCATGTTCGCGGCCCAGGGGGGGGGGGCCAGGGACGTAATGAAATCAGAAGAGGCGCCATGCAATCTGGGGAAATATCATGGCCCACTTCATGCTATCCACCACCCCCTAGTCATCACCCCCCTCTTTGCTGCCCCCGAGTGCTTCTTGGCACGGGCCTCCACTGCACAGCGCCTGGAGAATCCGAGAGCGAGCGCGCTGTCGCTCCCGAAGTCCCTCGCCGAGGCCCTCGGCGCCCTCCGCCGACCCAGCGACGCGGCGTGCACGCACACGCGCCGAGCCCGGCCGAGAGAGGAGGGCGCAGAAGGGGGGAGCGGGCAGCCATCACGAGCGGCGAACGCATCTCTTGAGCAGGGGCCGACCGTCCCGGCACTCCGATAGGCCTACCACGAAATTGTCTCAGAACCCAGGAATGTTCCAAGAACGAAAACAATGTTCTCAGAACACAAAGCCGATGTGTTAAAACAGAATAGCCCCAGCCAGAAATGTTCTGAGAACATTTCGTGGAAACCACAGAAGGTTCTTTGAACATTGCTTGGCAAGCCTATGGGCACGTCAGGACGCTTCGCCACTGCTTGAATCTCGGGCGGCGATCGAGCGGGGAAGTGAGGAGGAGGCCTTCTCGGAAGGCGGCGGGACTTCTCAGAAGCCCTCGCGCCTCCCGAGAAGCTTGTTTTGTCTTCGGGGGAGGCCCGAGGAAACTTCTCAGAAGGCTCGGGGGCTCCCGAACCTTCCGAGAAGGCCTTCTCCTTCTCACTTACCCCCCTCGCTCGCCGCCGAGCATCCACACTCAAGCCCTCGCGTTCTTGAAATGCGGTCGCGGGGGTACGCTCTGGCGGGGCCCCCGCAGCCCCCTCCGCCCCCAACAAAAAAACGAGCCTCCCGAGGGGGGAGGTGGAGGAGGAGGAGGAGGAGGAGGAGGAGGAGGAGGAGGAAGAGGAGGAGGAGGGGGAGGAGAGGAGGAGGAGGAGGAGGAGGAGGAGGAGGAGGAGGAGGAGAGGAGGAGCGAGGACGAGGACGAGGAGGGAGGAGGAGGAGGAGGAGGAGGAGGAGGGGGGTTGAAGCCCAGGGGCCCAGCGCGCGAGGCCGTGGCTGCGGGCACGCTTCCCGCCCGCGACCCTGGGCGGAGGGTCGGGGGCGTCCAAGAGGGGGGCGTCCAAGATGGGGGGGTGCGCACGCAGATCGTGGCTCCAGGCACGTGCGCGGACCAGGGGGGGGGCCAGAGAGCGCATTGAAGTAAGGAGAGGCGCCATGAACTCCGGGGAGATGTCATGGCCCCCGCCCCCGCCATGGTATCCCCCCCCCCCGTCATTCCCCCCCCCCCCCCCCGCTTGGCCGCCCCCGACTGGGCGGAGGGTCAGGCAGGCGCACACGCTGTCTGCTCCCCGGGCCTGGCCCTCCTCCAGGAGAGGCTCGATCTCTCTCCTCGCCGCGGCGCGGGGGGGGGGGAACTGCGGAGCCGTGCGCGGGGCAGACGCGCGCGCGCGCGAAGGATGGGACGGGCACGGCGACCCACGAGAGATCGGCCCCAGGACCTCCTCTGGGGGGGAGGGGGCGTCTCGAACAGAATCCCACCAGCCCCAGGCATCTGGGCGCGAGTGGTTTGGGGAGCCCCCCCTCTGTCCAACCCCCTTCTTCTCCTTCGGGGAGGGGTTTGCATGCCCCTCCCCCTACCCCCCCCCCCCCTCTGGGCCTGGAGGGGGGCCGCGGGTCGTTGGAGCGTCTGCATTCGCCTAAGATGGCGCCGATACAGCCCCAGAGAGCTCAAGATGACCTCCAAGATGGCTCAAGATAGCCCGCGATGACTCAAGATAGCCCCTAACAAGCCCACACGAGGCTCCAAGACCGCCCCAAGACGGCCCCAAGTGGCCACGGAGCCTCCCAAGGACCCCCCCCCGAGAGGTCAAAATCGTTCCAAAACCTATGGAAAAATAAATGTTGTGTCCCTTTTCGCCTTTTCACTTTCAGTGGGCTCTTGAGGCTTCAAGATGGCCCCAAGATTGCCCAAGAGAGCCCCAAGACAGGCCTCTGAGAGGCCCAAGACGGGCCCAAGCGCGCCCAATAGCGCCCCAAGAACGGCCCAAGAGGGCCCCAAGAGGGGACCGTGCTTGACGACGCGCTCCGTTTTGAGTCGTGGCCTCCAAGGTGGCCCTACAAGACCTCCCAGACCCCCCAAAGAGCCACCAAAAATAGCTCCGATGGGTGCCCAAAGAGGCGCCGCGGGGACCCCAAAAGGGCCCAGAAACCTCCAACATGTCCCCAAGAAGGCCCTTGGATATCCCCAAGATGCCTCCAAAAGGCTCTCAGAGAGAAAGACCCAGAAAAGGCATTGATGGTTGACTCGTCGTCGTCGTTGCACAAGTTGCTGCGTTGGGATGAGCTGGTGGGGATACTTTTTTTGTTCGCGAACGTTGCGGACCAACCGCGCGCCACCCAGAAACAAGGCAGCCGCGCCATTATCTAAATTAGGCACTAAGCGCGCAGGAGCGAGCTACGCTGCGGCTCAGGGGGCGCGAAGGACGCTGAAGAACAGTTCGGGGACGACGATGCCGTAAAGACCAGGAGGTGAACCTGGTACACGTGCAGCGCCAAAATGGCGAGGTAATTCAAGTTCAAGCCCGAGTCCCCGAAGACCACGTCCGCGTACACGAGGAGGACGAAGACCACGGCCACTTAGTCGAGGAGGGCAAACGTGCAGGCGCTCAACGGAGGACTCCGGATCAGTGCAAGTGGGGATACGGGAAGCGTGAAGAATTTAAACAGCGACTCCAGGCGTGGCGACGATGTCAAAAAGGGAAAACCCAGGCGTGGCGACGAGGATCGCCTCCCTGAGCCCCCCACAACCGAAAACAGCAAGCCACAAAAAGCTGGCGTCGTCGAGCCTCGATCCCCTCGCGGCCGGAGGCGTGCGCGAGGCAGTCCTGGAACGCCCGCGGCGTCCGCCGCGTCCCCCCAGAGGCCTCGAGCCCCTCCAACGGGGCCGGCCTCTCTTCCTGCCTGGAGAGCGCTCAGTATACCACCCCGGTGCCCGAAAAGCGGCCCCCACGGGGCCCCCAGAGGACCTCGACGACGACGACGATGACGGACTTTGTCAGGGCGTAGGAGACTGCGGGAACGAAGCGCCCGCCAGGTCGGCCGCGTCCTCGTGATGGAGAAGCCCTCGAACTCCGCGCCGTCGCCCGAGTTCGCGTGAGCCTGCAGAGGGCGCAAGCGCGCGTGCGCGGTGGTCGGAGGAGCGGAGGGAGGGAGGGGCAGCATGGGGGGGCAGCAGGGGTGGCAGCAGGGGGCAGGAAGGGGGTCGGCAGCACGGCAGCAGCAGGGGGGAAGGCAAGGGGGGGGGGCAGCAGGGGGAGTGGGAGAAGGAGGAAAGTCAACCTGTATCAGAAAGATGCGCGGTAAGGCTGCAAGGGCCTTGGAGTGCCAAATTGAGGTTTCTTGAACAAGGCTGGCCAGTGAAAGTCGCTAAGGATGGGCCGAAGGGGCAAGGATGCAGGGGTACCCTTGGGAAGGCTGCCCATCCTTACTATGCGGGTTGACTGTAAGAACCAGTGGCGATGCCAATGAAATTCGGTGCCCATCCCCGCTCAGAGCAGGAGGTCATGCGCCACGCAGACCTACTTCACGACCCGACCTGCACCCGTGGCTTTCACCGTTACTTCAGGTTCCCAACCAAGGCGACACTTACCTGGAGATCCATACAGATGGCTCGAGTGCATTGGGACACATGCCAATGACCAGAACGCCCATTGATGCGAATAATGGCTCCATGAACGGCGGGAGGATAAAACAAACGAAAGTCTCGCCCCGACACGGCGTGCGACGAGAGAACTGACGAACGGATGGCATGGCATGGCGCACTTGGGAGCACAACTGTACCGATACGGCAGGTTCGTGTCGTGCCGACCCCAGCGTTGGTTCTTGACACCGCAGGGATCGTTCAACCTTGAACGATCGGCCGCTGCCGCAACGTCCGATCGTTCAACATCGATCGATTCTGGGTCGCCGGCGGCGTTCAACCTTGAACGTCCGCGCTTGGGTCGCCGCTGGTCGACACGACGCAAACCTACCGTAGGAGTCACCGCCACCGCGCACGGAGCCTTTTTGCCGTGGCGAGAGCAGGCAGACCCGAGCATGCGAGCCCTGTCTCACGACGCCGCCGGGAGCCCGCGGCCGGGCCCACGGCTCGGCGGCAGCCGCCCGCGAGAGCCTCACATGCCGAGCGACCAGTGCACCCACCGAGGGCGCCCAAGCAGCTTCACGGCAGCCGCCCGCGCCAGGCCGCGCAGGGAGCGTGAAGTCCGGCGCCCGCACACGGACCAGCCGTCGCGGTGCAACACCGAACGGAAAGCGAAAGGGAAGCCTGAACTGCGCAGCTGTGGGCAAAGGGAGCGAAGTGTGACCACACCCACCGAGCTGCCTACCACGACAGATCGGACTCGCCCCCGGCTTCAGCTCCGAAGTTGAAGCAGGCCCACGGCGAGGAGGACGTGGCTGGGCACAGCCCACCGGGACCCTCACGTGCCTGGGACGGACGCCGGAGACAGGCCAACTGAATGAGCGCAACCTGTTCCACTGTCGGCCCGTATCGGAAGGGTGCACGATGAGGACGCAGGGGCCTTGGAGGCCCACCTCGAGGCTCTTCGAGCGGGGCGCGGCCCACGAGAGCGGCCAAGGATGGACCTAGGAGGCAAGGACGCGAGGGTGCCCTTGGGAAGGCTGCCCATCCTGATGGGCCTGTTTTCCACCACCACCACCACGATAAGTTGGAGGGGGGGAGGAGGTGGAGAAGGAGGTGGAGAAGGAGGAGGAGGAGGAGGAGGGAAGAGGAGGAGGAGGAGGAGGAGGAGGAGGAGGAGGAGGAGGAGGGAGAGGGAGGAGGAGGAGGAGGAGGAGGAGGAGGAGGAGGAGGAGGGGAGGACCCCCTCCCCCTCCAACTTATGGTGGTGGTGGTGGAAAACAGGCCCATCACATCCTGACTACGCGGGTTGACGGTGCTGCAGCCCCAAAGCTGAAGTCCGCCCCGGTGTGGCAGGCCTTTTGCTAAGCACGGCCTGCTGGGCCCTCCACCTGGGACGGACGCCGCCAGTGGCAGCGCAGGAGGGAACCGAGGCCCAGCCAGCACCAGCTGCTGAGGCAGAAATCCGCCTGACTCACACGTGTTACGAACCGGTCGTCGCCATCTTGGTCGACTGGAGTACAATGCGGGCGCGACCACAAGAAACCCTCGCAAGAAACCCAACCCTGAAAACCCGCGCGCGAGGAGCACCAGAGGAGAAACCGGGAGCACCAGGAACGCAGCAGCTCCTTCAACGGCCGCGGGAAGTCAACGCGCAGCGCGCGGAGCAAAGAAATCCAGGGCGCCCTGATAAAAAAGCATCTGGTTCCTTGCTGCGCGTCCCCACTGCAGGGTGCCAAAGCCGCCGATTCCGGCAGTTGCAGGCGCGCCACGGCAAACCGCCGGGACGCGACGGCGAGGCAATCCAGACGCGGGGCGCTCGTGCTTGAGCGAGCCAAGATGGCTACGGAATGGGCAGCAGGGGGAGGAGGAGAGGGCAAGAAGAAGGCGGAGGGAGGGAGAGGGAAAGGGCGGGGGAGGGGGCTCTTCCCCCCATTCCCCCCCCTCTCTTCCTCCCCCCTGTCCCAGAGACGACAACGACGAAGACGACGACGACGACGACGACGACGACGACGACGACGAGGACGGACGGACGGACGGACGGACGGACGGACGGACGGACGGCGGACGACCATCGACAGACGACCGGTGACCGACGGCCGACGGCAAACGACCAACGACCAACGACCAGCGACCGCGGCGACAGCGACGACAACGACGACGGCGCGGGGTCGGCCTCGCGGAGCCGCTGCTGGCGCATCCGCGCCATGTCCGCCGCGGAATACTCCGAGCCCAGCAGCGGGTCGCCGCCTGGCCCCCAGAGGACCCACCTGGAGATCCTGGCATCGCATTTTGTCCAGAGCCTAGCGTGCTCGCAGGACTTCTGGCCCTGGGGCCCAGATCGATCCAGCTCGGATACTCCTGCAGAGAGCTGGCTCGGGTCTGGGGCTCTGGTCGTGAATTTTCACGATGCTGCAACTTTTTCTTGAGGCCTCCCAGACGGGGTCGGAGTAGATGGGGTTGGAGGATCACACCGCATCGCCGCATCGGCGATGCATCGGCGATGCATCGGCGATGCACTGGCGATGCACTGGCGTCGTCGGCGATGCATCGGCCACGTCGGCGTGGAGAAAACTGGTCCCCACATCGAGCCGCATCGCCGATGCATCGACGATACGGCGCAATCGTCCGACCCCATCTACTCCAGCCCCATCTAGGAGGCCTAAATTTTCGCGTCGTCGAATCTCAGAGCAGACCCAGGCTCGAGGTTCCAGGGACATGGTTCTAGAATCGAGGAGGCTCTGCGGACGCTCTTGCCATCTCTTTGGGCCTCTGCGGGGCTTGTCGCCGCCACGGCTCCGAAATTCTGGACAGAGAGCACGCGTTCACAAGTCCCGAGGGCGACTGCACCTCCTGGAGCTGGAGGAAGCCACGCCATGGAACAGCCGAGGGGGCCACATGCGAACCCCACCCCTGCCCTCCACGATTTCTGAGGGGGAGGGTGGGGCTGGGTTCGCATGTGGTCCCCTACAGACATCACGGTGCCGGAGGCCTCAGCTCCCCGACTCCCGACGGCCTGACTTGTCAGCCCGCGGTCCACCCGGATCTCGGAGGGTGCCAGAAGTGGTCCTGGCCCTGGGCGCCCTGCCTCTCCGGCCGAGTTGGGCCCCCTGGGGCCCTCTGGGCCTCGTGAGGGGGTGCTCCGGAGACCACCCTGGGCCTCCCTGGAAAGCCTAGGCACACCTTCGAGCAGTGAGACACCTTTGGGCAACACCCGAGAAGTGTCGATGTTTGCCCTGGAGACGAGCTCTCGTCCCGGATCAATTCGGATGGTCCCAGGCCCCGGCCACAGACAATGACCGAAACAAGCGAAAACCGGCGGGATTGACATTGAAAAAGCCATCCCCCCGAGGTCCAGGTCTGTCTGATGCTCTGGGAGGGTTCTACGGTCCAGGGTGTTCTCTATCAGGGTCAGCTCGCCGAGGGCTAACTACTTGGGGCCGCCCAGCTCACAAACACACACGATGTTGAGAATTTTCACAGCCTGGCCCCCCACGAGATGTCGACCCCTTCCCTTCCGAGTGCCGCATGTGTTCACTCTGGGCCTTTTCGCGCTCCTGCGATTGAAAATTTTCTCTCTCGCCGTCGGACCTCGAGGCCCTCCGTTGGAACCCGCTGTTCATCCCGGACCGTGTTTGACGGCCCTGGATGCAGGAAAGCGATAGGGGGCCAGTTTGACGTTGCTCCCATCGTGCTCAAGGACCACATCCCAGAAATAATGTCGAGCACCCGGAAAAGTATCGAAATAGTGTCGAAACAGTGTCGAAGCAATGTCGAACGAGTGTCTCCCAGGGCCCGACACATGCAAACCCTAGAGTTTCGGTACTCTATTGGTGCTCGAAATTATGTCTGGTGATCGAGGCTAACCTAGTCTGGAACATCATAGGGCCAGTTCAGGAAGTGAACATCGAGCTTGTCGACCATCCATCGCCGATCATTCCTACAGGCCTACCCCGAATGCTTTTAAAGCAGAAGCCCGATGTGCTAAAACAAGACACTATCGGTCAGACATGTTCTAAGAACATGTCGTGCAGACCACAAAGGTTTCTTAGAACATTCTTTGGTGGGCCTGTAGGCGAGCCAGGACGCTTCGCCACTTCTTGGCACACGCCGACGGGGCCACCCTACCCGCGCGTGCCCGGCCAGCGCCCCCCCGAGGGCCAGAGCCGAGCCGCCGCAGGCCGACCGCGTGAGCCCGATCGAGCCAGCCCGCCTGAGGCGAGGAGGCGGAGGGGGAGGAGGAGGAGGAGGAGGAGGAGGAGGAGGAGGAGGAGGAGGAGGAGGAGGAGGAGGAGGAGGAGGAGAAGGAGGAGGAGGATGAGGAGGAGGAGGAGAAGGAAAGGGGAGGAGGAGGAGAAGGGAGGGGAGAGGAGGAGGAGAAGGAGGAGGGAGGAGGAGGAGGAGGAGGAGGAGGAGGAGGGGGGGAGGAGGAGGAGGAGGAGGAGGAGGAGGAGGAGGAGGAGGAGGAGGAGAAGAGGAGGAGGAGGAGGAGCAGGAGGAGGAGGAGGAGGCGCGAGGGTGCCTCCGTCGGGGGCTGTGGCCCGACCCAGAGGCAGATCGCGCCCTGCCCACACGGCGGGAGACAGGGCTGGGGCTCGCGCGCGCCTTGTCCAAGACTGGAGGCGGAGCGCCGCGCCCTTCTTCCCCGAGCCCCTGCACTCGAGCTCCTCCTGGCCCTGGCCCGGGGTCCGTCCGCGGCCCGTGCGCGCTGGGCGCGGTGACGCGCGAAGGAGGAACACCTGCGGGCGGGCCCAGCTCGTGTCTGTCCGCCGGTGTTCCTGAAGGGGCCCAGGGACACACACAAACAAATAGACAGACAGACACACACACACAAGGAGACTCCATAGGTTCTGGATTCTCGTTCTCCCCCCCACTTCCCACATGTTCCCATCTTTTGATGGGGGTCGACGATTCTTTGTGACTGTGTGTCATTTCCCCCTTGGGTTCCGCAGCCGTCGCCAACGTGGCGCAGCCGCCGGAGAGCGAGGCCAGCGGCGGGGCCTCTGCATGGCAAGGAGCCGCCTGTACTACCAGCAGCCGCACGGCCCTCACGCAGGCCGGCGCGCTCGGGACATCCTCGGCCGTGCCAGGAGCAGCGCTGCCTCGCTGCATCGGCGCGCGCGACCCGTCGGTGCAGCTCGTTCTGCCGGGCCTTGCTCCAGCGTTTCAGTGGATGGGGGGGCGGTAAGAGGGGGGGGGGGGGGTGGGGAGAAGGAAAACGGGAGGAGGGGGAGGAGGAGGAAAGAAGATGAGGAGGAGGAGAAGAGGAGGAGGAGGAGGAGGGGGGAGGAGGAGGGGAGGCGGAGGAGAGGAGGAGGAGGAGGAGGAGGAGGAGGAGGAGGGGGGGAGGGGGAGGGAGGAGGAGGAGGAGGAGGAGGAGGAGGAGGAGGAGAGGAGGAGGAGGAGGAGGAGGAGGAGGAGGAGGAGGAGGAGGAGGAGGGGGGGGGACGAAGCGTGCACGCTTCTAGCCCCGTTTGGGCCCCAGGGTGGCTTTTGGGGGGCGGCCCTTTCGGGCACAAAAGGTGCACCTTTCTTCGCCCCTCCATGTGTCGCCCGCCCTCCCATTACGCAACGCCCGACACAGGATGCAGGGTCTTTCCAAGCACAGTGGAGGCCAGTGCACAAGATACCTTCCACAAGAAACCCAACCCTACGACCCCAGGACGTCCATTGATTTTTGATTTGGGACCGTCACGCTTTGCATCGCAAAACACTCGAAACCCACACGAAACCCCGGGCACCCTGGAGGCAAGCAGGGTGGTTCCTGGCATGGGTCTCCACTGCAGTGCGGATCCCCCCGCTCCCGGAGGCGGCGCACTGGTGGTCGTACCGTTGCTCCTCCTCCCGCCTAGGGGGGGGAGGAGGGGCGAGGCGACAGGGAAGCCCCCTCGCGGAGTGGCGGGGCCTGCGATCGACGCCGGTGCGGAAGCTGTAGAGGAGGCGGGGGGGGGGGGGCAAGTGGGATGCCTCCGTGCAGCCGTCTTCGTTGGCCGACGGGGCTGCAAGGAGGTCCTCGGGGCCGCCTCCTGCGCCCACTGCCGGCACGTGGCACGCGGACTCGCGGGGGAGGGAGCCCACGCCGCCCCTGTGAGGAGGAGGAGGAGGAGGCGGAGGAGGGACGAGGGTTGACTGTGGATTCATGGGGGGGGCGGGGGGGAGCCCGTGCAGCCCCTGCGATGAGGAGGACGGGCGAGGGAGGAGGGGGGAGGGAGAGAAGAAGGAGGAGGGGAGAGACGGAGGGAGGGGAAAGAATGCCCACCCTCGCTGGAAGGGGCACGCGCAGTCTGACGTCCGACACGGCTGCCTCGACAACGCTGCCACCCCTGCTGGCATCATCTGGCACTGCCGCGCCACCGGCGCCTCGCGACAGCAGGTACACCAGGATCTCCGGCTTGCCCCAGATCACGGCCAGCTGGACGGGCGAGTACCCCTCGACCTCTGCAGGGCTGTGTTGGCGCGCCCTGCTGCTGCAGTGCCGCGCCGACTGCCTCCGCTGCCTGCTAGACTAGGCGGCGCGCCCGGGGGGGGAAGTGAGAAGGGGCAAGCCTTCTCAGAAGGCTCGGGAGTCCCCCGGAGTTCTGAGAAGTTTTCCAAGCCTTCCCCGAAGACAGGAAACTTCTCAGGAGGCGCGAGGGCTTCTGAGAAGTCCCGCCGCCTTCCGAGAAGGCCGTCTCCTTCTCAATTCCCCCCCTCGCGCCCTGCCGCTGCAGTGCCGCACCAACTGCCTCCGCTGCCTGCCTGAGAGGGCTGCTGTTGGAGGCCTGGAAATTGGCACCAACAACCAACACCAGCACAGGGGGTTGCCTCCACATGGGGAAGATGATCCTGGATTTCGGTGTTGGTGGTAATATTTCCGTCACCTTGGAAGCCAGAATATGACCACCATTACCCAGATCGGGATCGTCCTCCCTCGGCGGAGGCGCACCGCCGATCTTGGTGTCGGTGTCAAAACCTCTAGACCCGCGATGCTGCGCACCCCTCGCTCACGGGCGCTGCCAGGCAGCGGTCGGCTGCGGCAGGGCTGAGCGAGAGGGCACGCGCAGTGCGGGGGCGCGACGCGCGCGGCGGGGGGGGCGGGGAAGGCGGAGGCGAGAGGGCGCAGGGGCCCTGCCCAGAGGGCGGCGGGGGCTTCTCGGGGAGCCCTCCGCGGGCCACTCTGGGCAGCTCCCCGCGGCGCCGGCGAAGGCCACGGCAGGGGCCCGGGCCACAAGAGGAACCTGCCGCGGGAAGCCCAGCCCCGAGACCCCAGGGCGTCCATTGATATTATTTTGCTGTTTGGGGATGGGAGCGTTGCGCTCTGCATCGCAAAGCCGTCGGGGCCCACGCGCAACCCAGGGCACCCCCGAGGCAAGGAGGGTGCTTCTTGGCATGTGCCCCCACTGTAGAAAGCTGCCCACAAGGCCAGTGGCCCTCTTAGCCCTCGGAGGTTGCGTCGCCGCAGTGCCCTCCACCAGCGCCTCTCCCCCACTTCGCTCCGACTTAACCGCTCGATCCCCCTGCTCCACTGCCAATCCCCACCGCCTGCCAGAGCACTGCTCGCATCGTCAGAACTCTACGCAGCACAACGCCTGGGCCGCACAGTCTCCACCGGCGAGCTGCCGTCCCGCGTGCTGGGAGCGGGCTCAAGTCCGTGGCATCACATCGAAGGCCAACATCACCTGCTCGGCTCGAACATGGACCTGAAACGATTCCTGGGGGGGCCACGTTCGGAACACAGCGACCACGAGCAAGAATCGCCGAATCTCAAAAGCACGCGGAGGTATGCAGGCGGCGCTCTGTGGAGAGACCGCCGCCTCTGAAAGAACAGGCGCGGAGCACGCGCGGAAATCGTTCGGCCTTCGTGCCGAAGGGGATCTGCGGTCGATGCGCGCCCTGTAACACGACAAAGCTTGGCCGCCACATCCCTGGCGGCCTGCCTGCATGCCAGGTAAGCCTGGGGGAGCTGTGGCTCTGTGGTCCCTACCCCCCAAGGGCAAACCCATCGCGTCGACGATCTTTCCACAGAAGAAGAAAAAACGGCGTAAACACAAACTTGTTGACGCTCCGTGCGGATTTCTTGGATCTGCGCTGGACCACCTCCCTGGCGCGCGGAGCGCGCCAGGGGCGGCGCCGGAGGCACCGCTTGGGGGAGCCCAGCGCGGATCCAAGAAATCCGCGCGGAGCGCCAAACATTTGTGATCATGCCGTGTTCTCTTCTTCGACTCCGGGGGCTGTCGCAACCGCTGGGCCCCCTCGGCGGCGAGGAGCCCACAGCTCTCCTGGCTGTGGCTGCTCTGCTCCGGTCCGCGGACCTCGCCGTGCCCCCGCCTGCTTCCGCCGGCCACGTGGCCCCACCTCGGCCGAACCGGCGCTCCCGTGAGGCAGCTCGGCGCGCGTCGTGCACGCGCGCGCGCGCGCCCCGCTGCGCAGCGGCACTCTGCCCAGAAGGGGGCAGGAGGAAGAAGCGGGGGTGGTGGACACGACAGCAGTGGCTGCCTGGAGGCATCCCAAATGCGGTCGGAGCAGGTGGGGTCGAAGGATCGGGCCGCATCGCCGATGCACTGGCGACGTCGGCGATGTGTCGGTGACGTCGGCGTGGAGCAGATCGGGCTGGACGTCGCGCCGCATCGCCGATGCATCGGCAATGCGGCGCGATCCTCCGACCCTATCTACCCTGGCCCCACTGGGGGCCTCATTGGGGAGGCCCGCGCTGTCGTCTTTCTCGGTAGTGCGGCGGGCCCGAGCATCATCCAACGCAGCGTGCGCACATCTCGGCTACACGCAAGAGTGACCCTAGGCAAGGGTGAGCGACTTAACGGGGGACGCGGGGTGGCCAAATCTGGGCCCACAAGCCACTGCTACCGCTTCGCATTCAGCGGTCGGAGGACCCCGTTGAGCCCTCGCTACAGGCCACTCCGGCGAAAGCTTACGCCTTGTCGAACATCCCATGTGGTGGCCCTTGGCAGAAGGAACCTCTGAGCAACGGCGCCGGCTCGCGGAGGAGCCCCAACGTTGCCGCGGGGGCCCGCTCGGCTCCTGCTCTGGCTCGGCTCCTCACCCAGAGGACAAGATGGGCGCTGAGGTCGGGGGGAGGAGCACCGCATAGCACCGCAGCAAGCCGCTACACAGGGAATCTGCTGCCACTCTTTCCTCCGCGTCCTCACGCTCCTCCTTCCACGGCTGCCGCAGCTCCTCCCTCCACCGCATCCTCCCCCTCCTCGGCGCTTCTCTCCTTGCCCCCCCCTCTCTCCTCTCCTCTTCTCCTCTTCTTCCTCCTCCTCTCCTCCTCCTCCTCATCCTCCTCCTCCTCCCTCATCCCTCCCCCTCCTCCTCCTCCTCCTCCTCCTCCTCCTCCTCCTCCTCCTCCTCCTCCTCCTCCTCCTCGTCCCCTTCCTCCTCCTACGCCCTCCTCTCGCCTCAACTGTGGTTGTTCTCATTCCCCCCCCGTGTTCCGTCGTCGGCATCGTCTCCGCACCTGGAGGTTCAAGGTCTCGACCTTTACCTCCTCGACCAAGTATCTAAGGATCGCCAGATTGTCCATCTTGATCGCGTCGCTGAGGGGGATCATGCTGACCCACGCAGATCCTGAGCTGCAGCAATATGCACGTGTACATGTCGAAATGTATAGATGTACCTATGTACATACGTATGCGGACAATGATGTCTACAGCCAAGTGGAAATTGGATATGCGTGTTGTACGTGATGATCGGGGGCATCGAATTGTAACTCCTCCTCTTATGTCGATCTGCCCCTCACAATGCGTACAAATTATATGTTGGTATAAATCAGAGTGAGGGGGCCGAACGGTCATTCACTGTCCCTGGGCGCGTGGCTGAACTGAGGTTCTGCGGTGCGGGTTGCGGGTGATGTTGATATTGTTTGCTGCTTGTTGTTTGTTGTGTGGTGGTGGTTCTTGTTGGTGGTGTTGTTGTGATTGTTGATTGTTGTTTGTTGTCTGCTGCGTGCTGCTTGTTGTTTGCCGTCTGTCGTTTGTTGTTTGTTGTTTGGTGTTTGTTGTTGTAATTGTTGTTTCGTGTCGTCGTCCCCCCCGCCACCCGGCCCGCGACCCACCCGCGACCCACCTGCGGCCCACCCGCGACCCACCTGCGAACCGCCCGCGACCCACGCAAAACCCACCCGCGACCTTCCCGCCACCCACCCCGCGACCCGCCCGCGACCCACCCGCGACCCACCCGCGACCCACCCGCGACCCACCCGCGACCCACCCGCGACCCGGCCCGCGACCCACCCGCGACCCACCCGCGACCCACCCGCGACGCACCTGCGACCCACCCCGCGACTCACCAACATTGTTTTAACGAAGAAATCGGCGCCTGCGGCAGGCTCGTTGTATAAGGTGTAAAATGTTGGCACCTGCGGCGGCTTCTTCAGAGCCTCCCGGACTGCCGACGTCCCCACAACCCCCTCACTCTTATCCGCAACTGCGGGGTGTTACGTATACATATGTGTGCCGAGCACATGAGCGTGTGTCTTCACACACACACACATTCATACCAATGACATGTTGCTGATGCATGTTTGCAAGCAGGCAGGAAAAAACGCTACGCACACGCGCACAACATCAGTCACACAATACTCGTGCACTTAGGCATACACGTACTCTTCTACATGTCCACGAGCATACCGATGCGCATACTCATGCGTGCGGGTGCAACCGCACATACGGACCCCCAAGAGAGCTCCAAGAAGGCCCAAGAGGGCCCCAAGACGGCCCCAGAAACCCCCCAAACAGCCCAGGACGGCCCAAGAGGAGGCCCAGACGGGGAACCCGAATGGACATTTCGAGCACTCGTCCCCGGAAAAACTAGAGGAGGCGCAAGGGAGCCCCCAAGAGGCTTCCACGAGGCCCCCGGGAGGCCCCCAAAAAAACCCTAGAGGCCTCAACACGGCCCCCAAGAGGCCTCAAAAGTGTCGCCAGGAGAGCCCAGAGAAGCCCAAGAGCAGAGCCGCGATCCGCCAACCGCCCCCGACGAAATCCCAAGAAACTGGATCACCAATATTCCCCAGAAATCGCGCGCGTTCCGCAAACTCCGTGTTTCACTCTTGTTGCCGCCCCAAGGGGTCGGCGGCGCGGCGTCAACCAATGAATCTTGGGTTTGCGTCTGCTTCAGCGGATACATCACGATGTCACTCAACATCTGAATTCGCACAAGATAGTACATGAGATCGTGGGGGTCTTTGTATAGCTACACCCAGACAGCGCCTTCACCCACGCACACGTTCACGTGTGCATCGGCGAATACGCAAACGCACAAAAAACATGTTGTTGGCATGAACATTCACAAACAGATGGGAATGTCTGATGCAGCTGGTCTAGATATACCCACGCGCAGCCGACACCAGCATCCACATCCACTGCGCACAACAACATATGGAAATCCACTTTAACGTTGTCGGCATTCTGGCAGAGGCAGCCGGGTTACGGAAGCACGAGCACGAACTACGCACAAGAAGGACATTCGGAAGAAGGGGAAAAGGCGGCCGCGGAGAGGGGAAAGAAAGAGGGCACACTCAGAACATGTTACATGTACAGTCAGATCTGGTAGTAAGGATGCGCGATGTCGAAGCTGTTCTGTTCAAGCGGGGCTGGTCATCGAAAGTTGTCAATTAATTAAGGATGGACCGAAAAGGCAAGGATGAAGGGGCCTTTTTCTGTGCCAGCACAGGCCGGAACATAATTGATCCAACTTTGTCTGGATGGCTGTCTTGCTATCAACCTCTGTTGCAGCAGAGAGGCGATCGCACCACGACTCTGGGTGCACCCAGGTCGCCGAGTCTCTACTGCACTGCACGCGCCCGCAGGCCAAGTCGCCCGCGCACCCCGGGAGCCCACGCTGGTGGCAGGCTCAGCTCGCATCCCTGTCGGCAAGCAATCTGAGGACAACGGGAAGGTCCGAGGATGTCAGGGTGCCCTCGGCAAGGCTACACGTCCTCATCATCGGTCTCGACAGTAGCCCGTCGGGTGCAGTGCTGCGGCCTCGGGCTCCGGCCACCGGCTGCACCTGCGGGCGGGCACGGGCTCTCTCAGTGCCGGCAGAGCTCGGGGCGGCGAGGCGCCACGGGCACCGAGGCTGCCCGGGCCCTCCCGTGCGCGAGGTCCGGCCGAGACGGGCGTGCCGCCCCGACCCGGCACGCTGGCCCCCGCGGTTCCCCAGACGACGGAGCTCGCTCGCTACCTCTGCCAGCGCAGGCATCTGTATGTGAAGTACACACACGCCAGCCAGAAGAAGTGGGAGGGCCATGGAGTAGGAAGGCGTTGGAAGTAGGCTGGGCTTCCGCCCGCCCCCTGAAGACGAAGGACAAAGGAACACCACTCGATCCTTGGAATAGGAAGGCGCCTGACATAGATTGGAATTGCGTCTACACGTGCGCCCGCTCCTGGAGGCCCAGACCTCCGACGTCGCGCAGGTGTGTTCCACACGGCCGCCCCCCATCGGGGAGATCCCGAACCGCCCCCCCCACCCCCCCTGGGGGCTAGCTTGCCATCGAGAGCCGCTCTGCTGCCGGCCCCGGGGCCCGAAGCGAGCCTGCCAGGACCGCGAGCGACGGACATGGCCAGATCCATGCCCTCCCGGCCTGGATGCCGAGGCGCCCGCCCCCAGGGGCCGCGCCGTCGCATGGATGCGCCCTGCACCCACGGGGGGGGGGTGCCGCGGCCGCAGGACCCCTCGCCGAACGGCCACCGCCCCACCCCACATTGGCCCCCGGGGCGCGCGCAGGGAGGAGCACAGCACCGCTCGGGCACCCTGGCCCGGACGCATCCCGCCACGATGCGGAATGGAAGGGGTCACGACGTCGGAGGCCTGGGCATGGCCCCGCGGCGGCCCTGTCGCGCGCAGGAGTGAACACAACGGCGCTCGGGCACGGGCACCCTCACTAGGACGCTTCTTGTCACGCTGCGGATTTGAACAGGGCACGCCCCTGCGCACCGTTCCGCGTCCGAACGAGCCCGTGTGCCGCCGTGCTCGCGTCACACGCTCTGCAGGCGTCGGGCGCCGATCGGCCACTTGTCTTGTTCGCGATGCGCTCTCCTGCCTTCTCCTCGTCCTCCTCCTCCTCCTCCTCCTCCTCGTCCTCCTCTTTCTCGCCATCAGCATCAGCATCAACACCACCATCACCACCACCGCCACCACCACCACCACCACCACCGTCATCATCATCATCATCATCATCATCATCATCATCATCATCAGCAGCAGCAGCAGCAGCATCATCATCATCATCCTAATAATAACCAGCAACATCATTACCATGAGCATCTTCATTTGCATTTCCAGAATCGTCAGCATCAGCATCGTCGTCATCGTCATCATCATCTCCACAAATCATCGCCATCATCATCAGCAGCATGATCACGATCGTTCTCATCATCAGCATCATCATCATCAGCATCATCGACATCCTCACCCTCATCCTCATCAAAGTCATAACCATCTTCAGCAGCATCAGCAACATCAGCATCATCAGCATGATGGCATCCTCATTCCCCTCATGAGTATCCTCATCCTATCCTGATCATCATCATCCCCATCCTCGTCCTCATCAGCATCCTCATCATCATCATCACCACGATCATCCTCATCAGCATCAGCATCATCGTCATCATCGTCGTCGTCATGGCAATGACCATCATCATCATCATCCTCATCTGCAGTCGCCTCCTGATCTTGCTCCCCTGCATAATCACAAGTCATGAATGCCACCCCCATAATCAATCTGGGAATTACATTAGACTCATATCCGTCTCAACCTCAAAATGCCTACCTAATCTCATCAACATCACTAACATCACCATCACCGTCATGACCGTCACCCTTCATCACCATCATCATCATAATGATCGCCATCACCATTGCCATCATCACCACCATTATCACCACCATCGTCATGATCATCGCCATCATGATCCACCCAAGCGTTTCTATCCCCATTACCCTCAATTTCATCGTCAACGCCAACACCGTCTGTACCATCCTCAGCATCATCATGAGCATCCTAACCGTCAGCAGAATCAGCATCATTATTACCAGCAGCGTCATCGTCGTCAACGTCACCATCCTCAGCATCACAATCGTCCTCTTCATCATCAATATCATCATCAGTGTCACCATTGTCTTCACCGCCACCACCATCATCATCATCATCATCATCATCGTCGTCATGATCATCACCACCATCATCAAACTCATCGTCGCAATCAGCATCACCACCAACTTCAGCATCAACATCAGCACCAGCATTACCATCCAACGCACCATCATCATAGTCGGCGTCAGCATCATCATTATCAGCAGCAGCGACAGTATCGTCATCATCGTCATCGAAATCGTCAGCGTCAACATCCATATCACCACAATCCTGAGCATGATAACCATCATCCTCGTCATCACCACCAAATTTGCGATCTTCACCATTGACATTGTCACCACCATCAGCATCGTCGTCATGACCATAACCATTATCACGATCATCGTCGCTGTCATCACCACCTAAAAATAAAAGTCACCACCAGCACTACAATCACCACCCTCAGCAGCATCAGCACCAGCATCATTATTGTGATTA